TGCAAACGTGAAATTCGCCTCCGAGTTTGTTGAATGCTTGCCGTTTATAATTACCCACGGAACGTAGTTATAAGAATGACGCCGTGATAAGCTCCCTATGACTCTTCTGAATCAATCCAGGTGACTATACACTGCAGAGCTCCAATAGGCGCGAGCAGCAATGATCATTCGTACAGAAGCCGAAGGCCTTCGTCTCCCTCAAAGCAAGCTGAAAAAGGACGGGGTTTTAACGTTATAAAAGAATATAAAGATAAAGAAACAAAACAAAATCTAATCACCTTCTATCTCCCCCTTGTGCTGACCACCAAAAGACAGACATGAACGCCATGCGCCCTCCGAGGCGCTGTTCAGCCCTTCCACGCTGAAAGCCATTTTGTGAAATTCAGACAGCTGCGTGCATCCTTTCTGCATGCAGATGCATTACACGTTAAGCCCTAAGCCATAAACCTAACCTGCTTATCACCTGAGGCAGGAACAAAACCCTCAATAAACCCTAAAGCCTAAACCGTAAACCATCAAGCCTGACGATTCTCACCACTCGATGAACGCAAGGCGGTTCTCCGGATCCCCCTGAATCTTTTTGATCCCGCATGCAGAAAGAATGTTTCTGGGGGGAGAAAACGATATAATTAATCATCAACTGTCTTCGAGCACAACACGTAAAAAACGCTAACTCACAAGCGGCACTCTTCGATGCCGTGCTGGCACTCAACAGAGCCGTCCCTGTCTGCTGCATTCCCTGCAGCAGCAGCAGCAGCAGCAGGTCGTTAAAGCGGTACTGGTGGAGTTGCTGCTCTCTGCAGGAGTACCGTATGGGTAGAGATGCAAGTCGACGAAGTTCCCCAGCTCCGACCGCATGGTCTTAGCCACCTGACTGGTGATATACTGCAGCGTCGCAGTTTCATTTCAGCACAAATAGTTCAATTTTGAGGAAATAAGAACAATAATAGGTCAATGAATGAAGACCCTCACGCTTTTGCAGAAAGGGCACAGAGTCTCGTAGCTGACTTGTCGTCCGCCGTATCCACCTCAAGATTCTCGAGAAGAAATGTATTTCTTTCGATTCAACTTACAGGATTTCCACTTTAACCGGAGGCGGACGCAACAGCAATGCAGCCTGTCTACCTCGGCGAGCCCGACGGCTCTTCCGTCTGTCGC